CTGCCTTTGTCCCATTGTAACTTTGCAGTGAGGTTGGCAGAAGTCCTTATTAGGGTATCTAGCCCCCATGCCTGGGTCATTCCTATGACTCCTTTGAAATAATAGCTCCAAGCTTCACTTTCTCCTCTATCTTCTGGAATTTTCTACCCCCTAAAATGCCAGATATGCTTGAATGTAAGTGAATTCCAAGTTTTCATATTTCATAATAAAAAGCATGAATATAAGTTTTCATAAAAGGTACAAGCTTCTCAGTCTGAATTCAGCAATGGAATTGAGATGATTGTTTTTTTTGAGGTCTTTTGGAGGTTTTCCTGTGTACACGTCTCAAGCTGATGTAAGAAAATACAGTATTTTTCCCTTTAATAAGCTACAGCATAGCCTAGCTGAACATGCATATTTTTTACAGCCTATAGTAAATTGTTTTTCTTGCTACATTCTTGTCTTTCTGCCCTTTGCAATGTGAGTAGTACTGGCATAGTTCACCCAGCATTCAAATTTAGTAGTCTGCATTAAGAGATGATGTTTGAGAGAAGGAAAATGTAAATAACAGAGCTGACTTACGTGGGCTTAAATGTATTTGAGTCACAAAAAACTCCCTTTGGTTTAGAGAGTTTATCAAAGAGATAGGAAAGGTAAAAACCCACTTAACGTGTTCAACAAAGTGCAGGGTTAAAGTTCTCACTGAATTATCTTTACTTTTCTAACAGCAAAAATGTTTTTGTCCCAAATCAAGATTTCATACCTGTATCCTCTCAATTTTCAAACATTTAAAATCAGAGGGGTTAGCCATCAGAGATACAAAAGCAAGCCTTTTATTTTTTTTCTTTAAAATATGCTGATCTTTTTCTGAAAACTGATAAAAGAGCTGTATGGAAAAAAAAAAGTGCCATTTTTTGACCAAGTCAGATTTAAACTTTGGCTTAATAAAGTCACTATGAATCTAGTTCAGATCTTCTTTCACTCCTACACAAATCTTCCTCAGTGGCCTACCAGTGTAACTGGACTATCTTGAGGAGCTGTCCCTTTCAAATGGAAGAAATTGCAGGTCCCCCTGTGTGCTGCTTTTACTTCACCTACGTGAGCCCTCATGTTACAGCAGGCCACGTGGTTCAGGTTTCTGGCTGAAATGACTGGGAAACTCAGACCAGCTCAGCTGGGGTGCTTGTGATGCAGATGGTTTCCCATCTATTGGTAACTGCCCTAAGACCTATTTTGCACCAGACTATGATTAGCATGTTGGGTGTTACCTCAGGAGTTTCAGTTTTCATTTCCTTTGCTGCACTTGATGCAGTCAGTGGTCATGTGAAGTTTAGTCAGTGGGAAGCTCAGGAGGCAGATACCAGATTTCTGATTTGCAACAGGAGAGACGAGCACTTGGTGTTTCACATAGGCTGATTTTTGGGTTTTAAGGCAGAAATATTTTCAGAGGGCAAACAGCCAAATACATTGGTTAGAAGCTTGACCAGCTTCACTAAGAACAAGCTTTATTCTGCTGTGTTCAGCTCTGCTAATAATTGATGATGTGCATCCCCAGTTTCCAGAGATATTTTGGAATGTGGATTGGGACGCAGGTTAAAACTTATTTCACTTCATAATCATCTGTCATTGCTGTCCTTCTAGGTACAGTTCTCTGTTATGGGTTTCTAGTAGGCTTCTGAATTTTTCAGGCTTATTCCTTACATCTTAGTGATAGAATAGCAAGATGCAAAAGCCGTGTGGGAGGGGAAGGGACAGAAAGGAGAGCAGGTTAACCTTACTGCTTTCAACACTAATCATCTTCTGTACAGGTATTCTAGGACACAAAACCTTACACTGATAAATAAATACAAACCAGCATCCTGTACCATCCAACTCCTACTTCATTTTACCTCCCATTGACAAGAACCACCAAATGGTATTTCATTCTGTGTGATTACCTCAGAGGTTTAAGTGTCTTGAGCAAAAAAAATTACATTGTTTCTTTCAGAGTATGTGTTATGGGGCCAGGCAGTCACCTACCCATTGCTAAAAACACCCACAGCTTCCTAAAATAACAACACAAGCTTTTCAGCATTGCAGCTATTAGAGCACAGAGTCAAAACCAGAAAATGGCCCATGGTTTACTCACTGCATCAGGGAGGGGCTCCCATTCAGCGTTCATGAAGGCAATTAAAATAAAAACAACAAGCAGACACTGGGTTTTACCAATTTTATTTCTAGACTTTAGTTTTTTTTTTCGCTGGAAACTTGTCTGTTACAGGTCTGTTGGTGAAAATGTGCATTTCAGACCAGTGATGCCAATAAGTACAATATAAAAATGTACAAATCTGAATTGCTTGCTTACTACAGATTGTTATAATAATGTGACAAATAAAGCATCTCTGTTGGCACGTGAACCCACTTATCTGGATTTGGCCTTTTAGTACATACAATATTTTAAAGAAGTCTGCAGTACACACTGCCACTCAGTGTAACACATAATACAACCAGCAAGCACTAACTCAATAATCATGTTTGGTTCAGAGACACAGAGATGCCACGAACAGAAGTGTTTTATGAGGTAAGCAGTAAGAAATGTTCCTGAAATGTGGACAGAATGTATCCAGTCCTCCTGGGTCCTGCGACTGCTAGTAGCATTGCAATGCTTTATTTATGCACTGTGGTAGGATCTTAACTGCATTTGCCTCAAAATGAGTTCTAATTCTGTTTTGGTTTAGCAGCATACAGGCAACAGCTAGATTATTCTTCAGCATACAACTCTGTTAGCTGGCTTATTTATGAGATTTACAGGCTTTTTAAATTAGCATTATGCTATAATTAAAAAAAAAAAAAAAAAACCACCCTAGTATATCATAACAGATTAAACACACAAAATACTTAGAGTTCCAGAAGATAACCTATCATACCAAGTGATGTGTCCCAGCCGAGGGGAAGCCGCATCAGGTGGCACACAAGAGTTATATCATAATGCACCTTTCATATATCAAATGTGGCTAATAACACAGCTTAAAACTACTATGATAATAAACCCCAGATCAGACAAAGAATCCAGCTTTATAAAACGCAGAACAACAACAACAAAACCCCTGCCACGACTGGGGGATCTCCTGCAGTGTCTGCTGGTGAATTCGCACGTGGAGACCCATTCAGAGGAAGGTTCGATGCATTCCTGTCTGCAGTAGGACTGTGAGGCACTCAACGAACACCAGAACCTGGTCTAGACACGGGTGACTGAAGGATGAGGTATTGTGAAACAGGAACCTTTTTTTTTTGGAATAGAGCAGTAATCACATTAAGTAAAAATTGATCACATAAAAAAAAATCTACCAAAAAAAAATGATGTCAATAATATAATTTTCTATGAGAAAATTAAAACCTATAACATGGCAGTATATGACATTGTATAACAAAAAAAAAAACTGATCCACAAAATAGCAGCAAAACACAATGACAAAGATACAGAAAAGCAATGTTAATTTTTTTTTTTTTTTCAAACCATGCTGGGAATTTATCCATAGCAGCTCAATAAAAATGGAGCATCCACTCCTTTACTTTTCTCTTTTTCTTATTTTTTTTTCATTTTTAATTTTTTTCTTTTTTCCTTTTTTTGTTGGTTTTTTTGTCGTTTTGTGTTTTTTCCTTACAATCAACACCTTAGCGGCAGTTTTCTCACATACATTTCACCATCACATTCTCCTCGAGCATCAACTTCAACAGCTATGTCCACGTCCCTTCAGCTACTTTCTAAAATAATAATAAAAAGATACATAGCCAAGATGTGCAAATTTTCTATTCGTAGCTAAATAAAAAAAAAAACAACTGGGGCATATACTGGAATAAGAACTTCTTTCAAGTACTCCAATTCTCAGATCTATTAACTATGGCGTTTCTTTTTCGTGGCGAGCCTGCTTTTGGAAATGTCTAGGAAGGGGCCAAACAGACTGCTTGGGTTTGGGTTTGTTCTTTGAAGCGTGTCCTTTTTTCTTTCTTTAATAAGCTGTGTTAAAACTGCAACATCAAGGGTAGAAAGACTTTTTTTTTTTCTCAAAAAGGGGCGATTGCATTATTTTACAAATCATACTGGCCTTACGAACATCCTCTGCAATAAATATTCTTTTTAGCCTTAACTATAAATTATATATTTTAGTGTTTAAAAACCTTCAGTTGTAAAACATCTAGCGACAATCCTTAAACTATGTGTCCTATATGTGAACCTTTAAGGCCCCTAATTTATAAAGATGAGTTGGCACCAAAGGATTCTAAACTTCAACTTTTCTATAGAAAAGGATAGGAAGATATCCTGGCAATTTGTGAATGCAATTTCTCTCACTGGAACACAACCTTCGGAAAAAAAAAACCAATCACCTCTCCTCTAACACCATAGTTAAATGCACTTGCTTTGCAATTCCAAGTTTGCCAACAAGCACTTCTATATTTCCAAACCATTCCATTAAAAAAAAAAAAATTCCCACACAATAAAAGAATGTATTTCCTATATCTAATGGACTGAAAGTGCTTTGAATGGAATGGTTTTAGAATATTACGAACAAACAAAACAAAAAAGAAGACTGAACTGTGGATTGAACCTGACCATAATTAGGCTGAATATTTGTGGGGTCAGACCAGCATTTTTACACAGGTAACTACAAAAATATGAAGATTACAAAAATAGAATATATTATGTCACTATTTCAGCTTCTCTTTATAATAGAGTATCGTAGGAGTAGTACATTGGCCTTTCCCAACCATGCTGAGCTGGAACCCTACAAATGCCCTATGCACAGGCAATCCACAGGCACACAAAAAAAGATTAACATATAATAATGCTGCATACTAACATACACTAACTTATGGGTTACATTAACCATTTGTAAGGTGAAGAGGATAAAAAAAAAAAAAAAACAAACCCTAAGGAAATAAAATAAACATTTACAGATGACTTATAAAGTGACTAAATGCATAAGCAAGCAAGATACAGAAAAGCCTAGAACTGCCTTAAAGCTATGCTTTTTAAAGGAAAAAAAAAAAATAATATTTCATTTTCTATCTAAAAAAAAAACCCTCTTCTACTTTAAAAATGGTTGGTTGTTTTGTTTTATATGTAAGAAATCAAATCTAATACCTCCCCTGGAGACATTTTGTGTGTTAATGCCTATTTTTACAACATACAGACAAGAACACTTTAATATAAAAACTAGTTGATTATTATTGTATAAAATCCTCTATTTTTGTAGCACAAACCCCTGGGGGTAATGCAAATACTATTTTTTTCTTTTTTTTAAGACAGTTTTTGGGGTATTTTTTGTTTATTTGTTTGTTTGAAGTCACAGATGGAAGGGAGACAGAGCAAGAAAAAATATAACAAGACTGGTTTTCCCTTCTGGTATAAAAATGTCCTGGAGAAAAGGGTTTCTGGGGGGGAGATCCTGATGCTGATTCCTTCTCAGATGCCCTTTCTTTGTCTGCTTTTCTCACCAAGCAAACCCATTAGAAGAAGTCCTCTTAAATGTTCACATCTCGCACATCAGTAGGTGTGCAGGAAAGGTCTGCTTCATCCTCTACAGTCTTTGTTTCTGAAGATACGTTGTGCTGCTGTGCCTGGCGTAGACTGGATTCAAGGAGGGATTCAATCTGTTCTTGGCAGGCTCGTAAACAATCCTAGAGAAGATTAAACAGAAGGAGAAAAAGACCCAGAGTCCTTTAGAAAGCCAGTAAGATCACAGACCAAATACCATTTCTTGAAAAAGCAAGAGGAATACGATCAAGTTATCCTGGAGGACAGCAGGCTGAACGGAGTGTGAGAAGAGCAAGAGAAGCACTGAACAGTGGACAGGCTGGACGAGCTGCCCCGTCTTCTGCAGCACACCAGCACTCAGAAATCTTGGATCCAGATACAAGCAACTAACTCTTGCCATGTCCTAGGTGGCCATCCCCATACATGGTCCTCTGGCCAAACCATGGCCACCGTTTTGTTGTGAGTCTCAGCCCACAGCTCTGCAGCTGAAGGTGATGGATGCTCCATTAAATGACCCATGGCAACGACCCTGGGCAGGACCTTGGCACAGTAAACTGGTTGTAGCTTGCACTACTGCTTTCTGCCTGTGCTCTCAACACTTCAGCAGTTCCATCAAAATCCATTCATGCTTTGTTTTACCTCATTATCATAGAATGGTTTGGGATGGAAGGGACCTTAAAGATCCATCAAGTTCCAGCCCCTCCTGCCATGGGGTTTTAATACCTTTTTGAAAACTAGGCACAGTCTGACTGGCCAGCAGTGTGAATCAATCAAAATTAAATGAGTGGTGGTGCAAAGACATGAAACTGGCCCGAGTCAAAAGCTGGTCCACAATTTCTACTTTTAGCACAGAAACACTCTGGCAGTAAAATCCACTCAAAGTGATGGTTGTAAACGGTGATATTCCCAGGCTGAGTCCTGACACTGTGAAGATCTGAGGAAAAAATGCCATATATAGATTTAGATACCTATGCCCAGAGTTGCCTGCCAACTGCTGCTGTGTCCAGCAGTGGGCAGCTGAAGATGGCCAAATGATTTCTAACTCAGAAAGCATCTGAAAAGAAAAATAAACCAGACTATATGACTCTCACATGGAGAGATCTTTCAGAACCACCACTAAGCATCTTCACAGTCACGCGTTTTAAAGCGCTGCCAAGCTTTCGGTTTGCTGCTGCATTCACCTTGAGATCTCACGTCAGGGTGAGGTCTCCTTCCCTTGCCTCAGGAGCGCTTTCTCAGAGCTGAATGCTCACACCATCCTCCTGAGTGTTCAGGAGGGTGCAAGGGCCTCGCCACTTGTAGACATTGGTGGGAATCAAAAAGCACGAAGGACCAAGCAAGATCATGTCTGCTGTGGGGAAAGGTAACTTCCCCCAGGCATGTAACCATACCAGGAGTAGACACATCCAATTCTACGTGTCAATCCACAGCAATTCACACTGGAGGAGGCCTGTTAGCCCAACCTGCTCATCCCTCTGCGAGTTACAGTTGTGTTCTCCAGAGCCATTGCAACGACACCAACGGTGCCTTGAATAGGCAGAACAATCGCACGACGTTTTGCCAGGATCCCTCCAGCGTGCTGTTTACTCCCATCTTTACAACAAACACCGTAAGCTTTTTCCCCAACATCTTTAACTCTGTGTATTAAGGACTTTGAAGTTCCCTTTCAGTCCTGCCTTCTCTGATTTAACCTCTGACATGTGCTAGCCCTCGCGGTGAACCCAGTCTTCCATGATAAATTGCCGTCAAAAGTGTTAGGATGTGCATGACTGAGAATGAATGTTGTTTTCCTGAGAGGGTGACCTGCCTGCTGTTTTCTTTATTTCCCAGTTTCAATTCTGCCTTCATTCAGAGGCTTCTTGTGTGATCTACCAGCTTTTCACTGATTCCACTACCACAAGAATCTCCTCTGCCACCAATAAGGGCACATGGCATTTGGGGTAAAATAAGATTAGAAACCCAAGCAAACAATTCTCTGCGAGTCCTTTCTGAGAGAGAGGGAGGTTAATCCTACCTCTAAGCAGATCAGACCATCAGTTACAGCTCACTGAAAACACATAACCTATGACCTTTTCTGGTTTAAACCCTAGTGTAATATTTCCTCTTGACAGAGACACACAGTGTTTTAAATGACAAAAAGAAACGCCTCATATCCTAAAGTCATCATGCCTTTGGCTCCTACATACCTCTGGCTTCACAATAAGATCTCTATGAAGTCCTTTCACCCCTTCTCAAGACAGAAGGGATCAATCCTGACTGTACTTGCACGTCCTGCACCACGTACCTCAGTCACAGTTGGAGTTTGATGTGTTCAAGAGCGCTCCATGAATGCTGGTTTAGGTGTTTTGGGTTTTACTAACCCAGGCCCTTTTGAGGATAATTCTGTTTTAGCAAGGTACCACATGTTCAGTGTTCCAAACCGAAAGTGAAATTATTTTCAGAGCAAAAGGAACTCTGTTGTTTTTTTTGGGGAGAAGGGAAGGTGTGATTTTCGGGTGGTTTTTTAATGGGGATTTTTTTTTTAATCCTAACCATTTGCATATAGCCTGTTTGAGCTCTGAAAACTAAAACCAGTCACAAAAAATTCTATAAATACCTATTCTTCTCCCTCTGGAGTCCTGTCATGAATAATTGCATAGCACTATGTAATCCAAAGGTAATTTTTGGCCACAGAATTATTTTTTCATGTGAGTTTCTCAAGAGTACAGCATGTTGTAACTGTATTCTTTTTAAAACATAATCTTTACCATTTATTATGGACAGACTATGTCTTAAGCTACAATTGAATGAACAGGGGGTTTTTTTTAATGTTTTAAGCATTTTTGCTCATTTCTTATTCATATGAATGAATTGTCTGCAGGAATCTATTAGAGCTAGCAAAAAAATAACTGCAAAACATAAAATTCACTGAAAAACCTCACCAAAGCTTTTTTCATTCTCAGCACTGAAAAGCAAATACAGAACTTCTGCATTACTCTGATAACTTCTCCCAACAACTTTTCTGCTTCACTACCCAAATTTTCAATGCCCACAAGTTTGTTCAAGGTCATAAACCTTTCCTGGATTAATTAAGCTCCTCAGTGAAAAAAAAAAGAAAAAAAAAACCCAAACACTTGCTAGCTTAACTGATGTGGTCAAATGCCTTTAACACACGCAGCAGACATGACCAGGCTCCAGGGTCAGATACTAAAGGAAACAAACAACAACAAAAAAAGAAACTGCTTGGAAGTCCTTTGTTACTGCCTGACCCGTTGTGGATAACAAGCACATGTTGGAAGGTGCCTCTGAGTAGGGGCAGGCAGGAGAGGAATTCCAATGTACTAACAGACAGCATGGAAACCCAATCTAATCTAGTTTACCAAATTTCTGGCCTGGAAATGAATGTCAGGTAAAATTCAATCTGTTGGGATGATGGGGTCAAGAATAGAATGATGGAAGACAGCCCAAGACTTCTAATTGTGATTATCTGACTTCTAATTACCCCTGATCAAAGGGAAAATGGGAAGTTGGACTGCTACCAATGTAAACATGAACCATAAAGGAATTCCAATCAGGTGATATTCATTTTACTTTAAATTCAGCTTGCTCTGAGACTAAAGGTAAAAACGTGTATAATTATATAACCTGAAATCCAACAGACCAGCTGCTCTGGCTGATAGATCATCGGGGAGAATGTCAGCCATGTTACAATGCATGCTTTTAATATTTCAAGACAGTCCAATCTGAAGCGTATTCATCTAGTGCAGTCTACCAAGGGAAACCATCACTGTGGAGTTACAGACTTCAGCCACGTGCTAGTGAAATAAGGCAACAGGAATAGCCATGGATTACACAGGCACGTCTTATGGGAAATCCTCTATCCAGGGGAGTCATGCTGGGTATGAAACCAAACAGTTTTCTCTGCTCAAAGCAACAGCAGTGAAAGGTACTGTTCCCTTACTGCATTACAAACACAACAGTATGCATACCTATGGTTTTATGATGCTTACTTTCTGTACCCACCTATACAAAAACCTTACTCCTAGCTCTAGCTAACACATCAATACATTTAGCAATGAAAGCTGGAGGGGAGTTGCTTCCTTTTAAAGCTGTTAATTTACCTTCAGGTCATAGAGACTGTGACCTTGCACTGACTTTGGACAGGAAGAAATAAGCAAAAATTCTCCTTCTTGCTAAAGTTACATTTGTAAGAACTCTGGCATCAACTGAGTCAAGTCATGTAAGGACATGCAGTGTTCTTCAAGTTGTGAAAGAATCTCCTTCAATGCTATGTACTGAGCATGATTAAATAGTATTGTTTGATAAATAATGTTGTTTGAATCAGATACTGTCAGAACAGCTAGCAAGCCTGGTATTTTCCCTCAGTACCTGCTTCAAATATCCTACACTGGATAGTGGCCAACCATACACTGGAAAATCTATCTCCACTGCCCACAGACTGGCTAAAAGCATTACACCTACATGCTAAACTGAGCAGCATTTTATTGCAGCATTTGAAGTTCACACAGTATGCAACATTTCAGCACTGGATCCATATTACTTTAGCTGCATTAATATAAATGGCAAAACCAAGGTGCTCAATAGTGAGGGGATGTTCAGGTGATCACAGCAATAAGCTGAGGCATCATATTTGTCAGCAATTGTTTCACATAGTCTATTGAAAGTAAAATATTATTTTGTGAAAAATTATAATGCATTCATCTTTCCAGAAATTATTCAATGCTGTCAACAAAGTCCAATTATGCAAAGCTAGTTTTTCAGTGTCTGGACTAGTACAGTTCTGTATGTATTTAAATTATTAACATGTAAAATAATTTAACAGCATCTCAAGGATTCTGCCTCTAACCACAGAGTTGTCTTTATTTGACTCATTGTCCAGTGCTTGGAGACCTCACAAGAACCTTTTTAAAGCATCTATTTATTGGTCTTCCACATTGTTACAAAACAAAGCTCAACTCTGCCCCAACTTCACACACCATTATGACATGGATCATTGACTTTAGGTCTTCCTTGTAGGCTCCCTTCCTGGCCCATTCACTCATGAAAGGTTTATTGCTCACTAGTTACTGATGTGCATCTCCTGGAAGCTGCAGGGCAAATGGGAGTCCTGTGAGGACCATCTACCTCTCAGAAAGTCGTGGGACAAGCATTTGTTCCAAAAAAGGAATTCAATACCAGCTACTGTGCAGGTCTAGCACGTAATAAACCAAATTAGATCATTAGAACTCTTTTAAGAAGGGCTTTTTCACACCACTTGGCACAATAAAAGGCCTCAAGAATGGTCAAAGATAAGGTCAGAGATACCATGAGGTCTCAGTAACTATTTCCTAGTTTTCAAAGTTTTGTTTTGCAGAAGACTCCTGGTTTAATTGCCTACAACTAAACACAGCCTTTGCAGGGTCCTACATCGATGCAGGGTTGCCTTTGCTTAGTCAGATACACCTCTTACAGCTTTAGAGCTGCATGTGGCATTCCTATCAGTGAACGGCAGCAGCACAACCACAGATTATTAATGGATATAATGACAGCTAAATATTTAGGATGGAGACGAGAGAACACATTCAAAAACCCCACTCTGAGGTTTGACTTTTATCAAGGTTTACTGTCAGATCAGCTAATATGCAAGTGAGCAGGCATTCATTCTTAAACTCTAAGGCAGGAGATCAACTGAGAGAGTCACTTACCGGATCACATTTGATAACTTGTGATAGGAAGTGTGTGAGGCATTGATAGGAGAGGAAAGTGTTAGTGTTCCCCAGATGCAGGCCTTGCACAGCTGCTACCACACTGCCAGCTGCGATCATGGAAGGTGGGTTTGAAATAAATTTAATATCTGTATGAAGAAAGGAGAGAAAAAAAGAAAAAAAAAATCAAAAGACTGAAATGATTGCTTTAGGAGCAGCCTGCCCATACACATAACACTCTTCCACCAGCATGGCTTCAGCTGCCAACTGTTGCATCCAAAAAGGTTGGGAAAACTGGGAGCAGAAAGGTGCCTCCTGCTCTAAACTGTTACAGGTCCAAACCTGTAAACAATTATCCACATGAGCAGCCGTCCTTCAGTGAGTGGCCCTTCCCAGCCCTGAGCCTGGGAGGCCATCCATCCATCACTGGGAGGTATTTTTATCGTAAGCAGGGCCCCCGTGCTCCAAATGGTAAAATACTTTGCTCACGTGAATAATGCCACTGAGGTCAATGGCACCACACATCTGAGAAAACCTGGGTGCATTCTGAAGTGCTTCACGTGCTCAGATCCTAGGTGCACTCTAACCAGGAGTCCTTGGGCCCTTTGGAGCAGAAACCTTTGCACTGACATTCAAAGAAATATAGCTTTAATGAACAACACCGTCAACAAAAAGAAAGAAAGAGAAAGGCTGCTTAACCCTGTCAGGAGGCAGATAATCCATATTTAAATTAAGGTTTCATCTTAAAAATGCTTTGTCTCAACCTAGTCTCTTGTCAGTGGCTGCCATCCATCCTGGCAACAGGGATTTAATGTAAATGTGGCATAACTAAGTGACGGGGGTCCCAAGAATTGGCGGACAATCAGTTACATTCTGATGTGACACCATGCTGACAAGAGGCTGGGCCCCCTTCCAGACTGCATTGCTGTAGGTCTCTCCACAAAGCCACTCCCATGATTCCTTAAGGGGCTATCTCTGCCACTTAGCATGGGTTTGGATTTTTGTTTTGTTTTGCTGTTGGTTGGTTTGTTTGTGGGTTTTTTTTTGTTTTGTTTTTTTTTTTTTTTAATAAGAGTAATCCACATTTTAATGCCAAGACTCTTTCTGCTGAACAGGAATGTGTTTGATCCGTGTCAGCGTGCACCTTGGAGGAGAGTCGGAAACAAAGGAAGTAAGTGGCACAAGTAAACGTCTACTTTTAAGAGGAAGAAAGGGGAAATGCCACATTATACACAAGAACCTGAGATACATTCCTTCAGCTTTTATCAGAATACAACTTCCTCTGAGTTGAAAAAATATAAACCATCTGTCAAACCCCTGAATGAAATCAAAGGACTGGACAGCTTAGAGGGCTCAGTGGAACAGTTTAAGTATTAAATCATGCATCTCCTTTATTATGATAAAATAACTTTTGTGTAAATGTTTTACCAGTGAAACTAAAGACTTCGGGACTCTATGAAAAGTCCTCTCTCTCCATCTATTCATATACCTCTGACACTCCATTGTAGCCCTGACCAATACCCACCTTCAAAGGGGCACTTTGCACCCAGCGCTCTATGGACCTTCAAAATCAAACCGATACAACAAATTGTGGCCAAACTTTTGTGATGTACTGCCAGCGAAAAGGCAAGCTTGATCTAAAGCAATCTCATTTTATGCTGCCATGCTTAAATAAGTTCAGTTTACTCCCTTTTCCTAATCCACCCGTTCCCAGGCAGATACAAATACACCCCACCTCCTAGCAAGCTTCCATCACTCCCCAAAATCACAGCACTCCAGACACCTTATTGACACCGCACACATTCCAAAGGCTGACCCCTAACTGAAATCCTGATAAGACAGTTACAGGTAGACTTCAGAAATGAGGGACTTGAGTAGGCAAGCAGGAATTCCACCCAGATGGGGTTGCTCAGAGGGGTACGGCGGCCGCGCGTTCACGACGCTGTTTACCGAGCTCCACAAACAGAACACGACCAAAATGTGTCAGTTTAATGAGTCCCTCCTGACAGGATCACGTTTGGGATTAATATTTGCGTTCTTCTTTTAAATGGAGCAGTAAACAAGAACATGAATTCATAGTCACACCCTCATTCTTTCCAAGGTGGAAAAGTGATAATGAAGTTTAAATGACCAGTTTGTGTCTGTCCCTATAACCACTCCAGACAAGCAGCATGGACTGCCTTTTTGTTGCAACTCAACAAGGAATTATTTGTGGCAGAGGCCACTAATTTCAGCATATTAATCAGGGGGCCCCTCTCGCCTGTAATTGGATGCCCCCAAGTGAAGAGTGTGGCATCATTGTCAGCCTCCATCGCCTCATCTTGCGCTATTGAGCGCTCAGGAACAAGGGGGCTTCGGTGAGATGAATTAGACCTGACACAGCCACAATGGGGTAGGGGGCCCCATCAATTGAAGCACACATCCCCAGTAGCCTATCTGAGACTTCATCCAAAAAGAATAAACAACTTCAGCGTTGTTAAAAAGAGAGAGAGAGAGAGAGAGAGGAGGGGGAGGAGAGAGAAGAATGCCAGCCACCCTGAAGGGAGGACAAAGCAGGCACATAGGCGCTGCAGCGCTTTAAAAAAAATTCCTAACAAGGCGAGTCACCCCTTTTCCTTTTTAAATGGAGCAGCAATTCCATCCGTCTGGAGAGCTGGGGGCTATGAATGAAAATCTTTTCATTGAGGCAAATCAAAACTGCGAACATAAATCACTTGCTGCAAGATGCAACAGGTTCCAACTGGTCACATACCTTGAGACTTCCAATTTTATAAAGGCCGGAGAATGGGAGAATTGTAACATGCTTGTTTCAAAGGGGGATCTTTCTTTTCTCCATCCCAGAGGAGGAAAGCAACAATAATAATAGCAATAATAATCATATAAAAGGAGCCTGGTATGTTTTGATAACCAGAGGAACGTAATGAAATGCTGAAGCTCCAATATTTGTTGCTATTCATTGTTATGCTTGTATAGAGCTGCAGTTCTCCCTCAACACTGGTCTTAACTTGGGCCAAAAGAGGCCTGCTTCCTTTTGAGCTCTCCCTGCCTTGCTCGGCCATGCCAAAGCCCCATTCATTAAGCTCAATTATGTGTTAACTTCAAACAACCCCTGGTAATTTTTTTTCTTTTTTGCCTTTTCTCCCAAACCTACCACAGCACAAAGACATCCTTTGGTGAAAATAAGATTTTTCAAAACTAAACCAAATCAAACAAATCCACTTCTACTAGCCAGACAAGTGAAGAGGGAGCTTAGAAGGAATTCCCCTCAACTTCACCTTGCGGCGTAACCTTCTCTTTCTGGAGCAAACACATACGAGCCCATCTGCAAACACTTCCACAGCCTTCACCTCCTGTTAGGCCAACTGGCGGAGATTTTATTTTCTAAGCAAGCATTATTTTGCCATCTCTTCTCAGGAGACCCTCCTTTACTGTAGAGGACACAGGCTGTGCTTCAAGCAAAGGATATACTGCACTTGCCCCCGAGGCCACTTAAGCGAGGGTCAGTGTTTTCAGTGGACTTTGGATTGGGCCTCACAGCATCCAGGCAGCACAACACATTTGCAGTCCATCTAGGTTCGTTTTGGCAAGAGGAAATACAACACAGCCCAGCAACAGCAAAGCAAAGTCCAGATGCTACTTAAGCCACATGTGATCTTCACTAGCCAACAAAGAAGTCGTGAGGAAAGCTGAGAGGTAGAGAAAATCGTGACATCCAAAAATAACAATAAAAACAGAGCCTAGAGGCAGCCTTCCTGAGCGCTCTTTCCCCAGGCAATATTCCCAGCTTCAGAAGGGAGCTGAAGAGGGCCCCTATTCTGGTGAGCTCAGCACTGCTTTTTTTAAAAAGCTAAGTAAAACTCCCAGAACATGGTTCTCATTTACTGATCCATTCTCCAGCTGTGGCGTGTAGCAGTGTTAAATAAAGGCCCTGGATGTGCTTCCTAAAAGAAACACAACAACACCGACAGTAGATCAAAGTACTGGACTCTTAGCAAGTCTCCAACCTTTGAACTACTCTTGTTTTCATCCCTGTCATTGCCAACACAACAACCTAGGTTAAACATCCCCGTATCCAAAGGGGAGGCCGGGTGGCTGTTCTGTTTAGCTAACAGCCGAGGAAGCTTCAAACTTAGCAAATGAGGCATTCGGAGTGGCAGCAGCCTTATCTGGTAGAATCTGGCACAGAGGGTTACGTCTGATTTTCCCAGAATGTTGCTGCAGGTAGTCTGAAGGCTGTCTGAAGGTTGCGGCGCTCCAAACAGCGAGCGTTACTCCAGGCAATCTAACTTAGGAGCTGCCCCTTGTGCTGCTGATGTTAGGCCCAAGATGAAGAGCAATGCCAGTGTTTATAAATTTCTCTTCTATGCCTTGGTCGTTCTATCTTTAGGCCTTGCAGTAAGGGCCGATTCTGTGAAATAAATTTTTTTTTTTTCTTCTGAGTGCCTGCAATCTTCAATCTTTTTATACCAAATCCATCTCTGGAAAATAAACTAAACAACATTAATTTGTGCCATTGACACAACACATTCCCACTGAGGTTTTTCAAGCGTGGACACCTCAAATCCAAGAGTAGGCTTGATCTCTTTATTTAGCACGACTGCTACTGAATATTAACGTTTACTAAAGCACTGTATCTCCTCTACACTAAGTTTTTCTCAGCGTCAGTGGAGACATTCTGGCATTCCTCTTTACGTGCTACTGCAAAAGAACATTTGCTTTGGCTGACTTTTCTTCCTTATTCTCTTGTCATTCCTGGAGTGGTCTCGCCATACTAAAAGAAAACGTGCTGAACACGTTTTGTTTAAACAGAGTATCTCTTCCCTCTAGAACTTCTTTTGTCCCTGCTCCTCCACTCTGTCCTGTGGGAACAGCGAGATCTGGAGAACGGACTCTAACACTTTTTTTGCCTTCCCACCTGCTAGAGTTCAGCGGGTAACGCCGGTGCCCGTACAAACGCACACACACACAGCCCACACGCAAACATGGGACTTCAAAGAGCCAGCGCACGCACGCACGGTGCCCTTGAAACCAAAGATCAGGCCTCTGCAAACCTGGCCTAGCCAACAGTCGGCGTCTTTGGAGGCCGGCCCTGCACATGGCTTCAGCACAGCACGTGGTCAGGAGGGTGCAGATGGCAGCGGCTGGGTCCTGTGCCAGGAAAGCCTCCGTGCCGCGTGGCCCTCCTCCAATCCACCAGCCACCGAGGAGGGGGGGGAAGAGGCGACTTGAAGAGGGAAGTTTTAAAACCCCCCACGCAGAGCTATTCACAAGCAAAATCTCCCTCCGCCTTTAAAAACCATCTTAAGAATGAATCTGCCCGGGGAAGGAGGGATTCCCCGTGTGGGCAGTAAGCCTTTTGCAGCCCTACGTGCAGAGGTGAGGGAACGGCGCCACGCTGCAGAGCGCGGGGGCTCTCCTCCCTCCCTGACAATACCACACACTCTACTCGGAAGCAAAAGATCTTCTGGGGAAAAAAAAAAAACCAAAACTTACCTCTGCCAAGTAATCCACCTTCTGCAAACAAGGGGCAATAATCGGGACTTAAAACTACCTCCCCACAGCTCTGTGAGCTCGCTTTAGGCCACAGCTACGGGAGAGGGGAGCGACGCGCGTTGCTTAACGTGCAGGGCTCATACCTGTAGCGCACAGAGCCACAAAAGTCTGAGCATGTTTACGGATGATCTGCTTGGTGTCCTCTGCCAGAGGCATTTTAGTAAGGAAATGTTCAATGAAATCGTGGGGGGTCATTGCAGCCAGATTCCATTTCAGCTTATTCACCAGAAGCAGCTCCATTTGCTGCAAAGACAAGAGGGAGAGGAGGGGGAAGAAGAGGAAGGAGAAGAGGGAAAACGTGGTTAGCGCCGGGCGCACACGGCCAGGCC